ATAAATAAATAAATACCTTGAACCCTTCCCACCTTCCAATTTGTTTATTGATAGGAAGAAGTAGATTAGGAAAGCTTTTAAAAAATTACTTTACAAAACTTTATAAATGGGTCATTTAAGGCAGGTGACATCAGTCCCTTCTTTAAAGAGCCTGCTTTTAAAATCCCTTAGATTTTTAACTTTTTTCTCTCTCTCTCCACGCTCCTTGGAACGTAGACGTTCCTCCGGTCCTGAGTTCGAGACTCGACGCCATTTTCATGGCTGACTGAAAGGCCCGCGAGGACTCCCGTGGCTCCTTCTCGTTGCCTCCTCCCTTCAAATCATGTTCGCCCGGTTCTTGATGTATATGTGGTAGGGGTCGCTGGGCTTGTCCATCGCCTCTCGGGATCGGGTGTAGCTTAGGATCAGGCTGCCAACCGTCAGAGCAAAGAGGAGCATCATGAAAACGATGTACATATAAGCATAAGTGTCTTTTCCCTCCTGGTCGGCCTTGCCCAGCCGGGAACAGGGCTCCACACGGGAGATGGTACCGTTGAAGAGCTTCAACATCACGTCCAGCTTCTGGAACCAGGTCTCGGTGTGGTTAGAGGCCATCCTGGTCCTGGGCCCAACGCTGGTGGAGCAAAACAGAAGGACATTTCGGAATGATCACCCATCCTCCCCAGAGAACAGAACCCGATTCCCTGGTGAGAACTTGGAGAGGAAGGACACCCCCCCCCTCCATCTGCAACGACCTGGATACGGTGCCTAGAAAAACAACCTGCACCTGAACATCAGAAAGACAAAGGAGATGGTTGGTGTTAGACTTCCAGAAGAAGAGAGAGGAACCCGCTCCACTTGACACCGAGGGGGGCTGTGTGGAGTTTTCCTCCTTTAAATTCCTGGGAATCTACCTCGGTGAAGATCTCACCTGGAAAATCAAGGTGGGCAGAAAGGCCCAAAAGAGACTCCGTGTGATGACCCAAAGGGGCGTGGCACAAAAGCAACCAAGTCACAAAAATAGGTAAAGTCCCTTTAATTCCTCCAACTTGGCCCCCAAAGTCCAGTGATCATCGGCTGGAGAGAAAAAAAGAAACTCTCCCAAGAATAGTTTTTAAACGGAAAAAATCCCGTCCGAACCCAAAGTAGATCTAAATTATAAATAAAAACCAACACAAACCACGCTGCAGCAATTAATGAGACAGGGCAGGATAAGGAATTGCAGACTTCAAAAGATGACAAAACGTACGCCGTTGGGAGGATGCCCAGAACTAAGACAGGACTTGACAAACAAAGATAATGCACGCTTTGCTTCCAGCAAGGTTCTATGCGCAGACACCCTTTTAAAATCCTGTTTTCCCAGCTGCAGCTAATGAAGGGAATCAGGGCCCTTTTCTCCCCCGGAAACCCACATTGCTCCCTTCTCCGTTCTTCCCTGCGTGGCCTAGGATGCAGAAGGGGTGGGCCTGGGTCTTCCTGTGAATGCCCAGCCAGACTGTGCCCTTCCCCAGTTTCCTCCCCAGCCACCAGACAGAGCCACACTCCCACTCTCTGTCAGCTGTTCGACTCCCCCTCGGAATCAGATTCTGACAGGGGCATGACACGCAGCGACCTAGATATGGTGCCCAGAAAACAACCTGCACCTGAACATCAGAGTAAGACAAAGGAGATGGTGTCAGACTTCCAGAAGAAGAGAGAGGAACCCGCCCCACTTGACATTGAGGGGGGCTGTGTGGAGCGAGTTTCCTCCTTTAAATTCCTGGGAATCTACCTCAGTGAAGATCTCACCTGGAAAATCAATACAACCCAGGTGTCCAGAAAGGCCCCAAAGAGACTCCATTTTCTTAGGGTCTTGCGAAAGAATAAAGTGGGCCTCCTTTTACCAGTCCACAATATTCTCTCATTCTCTCACACTGCATGACGGTGTGGTATGCTGGCTTGACAGCCGTGGATAGACATTACAGAGGATGGTGAGCACAGCACAAAACATCGTGGGCTGTTCCCTGATACCACCAGATGACCTCGCCGGGGCTCGCTGCCTTAAAAGAGTGAGGAAAATCCTCAGGGATGACTCACACCCCGGTCAGCCCTTCTTCACTCTCCTACCATCGGGAAGGAGATAGAGAAGCAGAGCCAGCCGCGCCAACAGGCTGTTGTGGTTCGCCAGCAGCAGGTGCAGACAGCTGAGGCCTCGGAGAGCGAGGACTCAGGTGAGGGGCCTGCGTGTGATGCAGGGATGGGGCTAGGACCATCAGGGAGTGGAGTGCGGCCTTTGGAGCTTGTGGGGGCTGGCAGCAATGAGGAAGAGGCCCCCGAGGAGCCTGTGCCCAGTGCGCATGCACGCAGGAAATTGCTCGAAGGAAAAAGCAGCGGCAGCAGCACAGGTAAAACTCAGGAGTAAGGCTGCAAGGTAATGGCCCCTCCCTTAAGGGATAAAAGCCAGCCTGAGAGACCGGGATTCTTTGCAGGAAGCAAAGACGTTTTAGCACTTCAAGCCTTGTGGACGTTCAGACTATCCTGGCTTGTATTTGGAGACTTTTGGTTTGATTATTTCCTTGCCATTTAATCTACCGTTCTTGGCAGCGTTGCACCGCCTTGGCGAGGCTCGTTCTTATCTGGGACAATGAGTTTGAAAGAGCCTTTTAACCGTGAAGGAACGGAACTCACAGAGAGGCATGAAAAGGTTTTGCTTTTATCTCTGTTTGGTGTTTGGTTTACTTGGGACAAGGTTTGGGTCAGAACACAGGCTGAAGAACAGTTTCCACCCATGGGCTATCAGACTCCCGAATGGAAAATAACTTCATGTCAGCATAGTATGACAGATTGTGCGACCGGTGTGTTGTGCAATGGGTAATAAGATTGGCACTGTATTAGGGACTTCTGTTCTCACTGTGAGTTGTGTGTGTGTGGGGGGTTGTGCATGAAGGGAGGCTCAGCCAACCTCACTGTACACATGTTGTACTCTGACAATAAAGGTAATAATAATGGATGAGACCCTAGGTCTCCTCTAGGGCAGGGGTCTCCAACCGTGGCAACTGGTTAATTGTCTTCCCTGTCAAGAAGTTTCTCCTTAGTTCCAGGTTGTTTCTCTCCTTGGTTAGTTTCCATCCAATATTTCTTGTCTGGCCTTCAGGTGTTTTGGAGAATAGCTTGACTCCTTCTCTTCTTTGGGGCAGCCCCTCAAATATTGGAAGGCTGCTATCATGTCGTCCCCAGTTTCTGCAACTATTCTTTTGTAAGTTTTACCCTCCAGTCCCCTAATCCTTTTTCTCGCTCTTCTCTGCACTCTTTCCACAGTCTCAACGTCTTTTTTACATTGTAGTGACCAAAATTGGATGCTGTACTCTAGGTGTGGGCTTAAGCGTATGGTACAGTCACCCACTCCACCCCTGTTCCCGGTAATTCTCAATTTACCAAGCACTCAAAAGCTATATTATATTCGATCCTTTCTTGTTCCTGCCTTCTGCAATGTCCACTCCTTTTTCCTTTTTTCCCCTAATCTCAAGATCGTCTATCAAAGTCTTTTATTTTTTTTTCCCCCTTCCCGCAGATCCGGTTCCTGTTGATCTCAGTGCTCTCTTTCCCAGTCATCTTAGTAACCTGAGAGGCGATAACAGCCATACCTGGCCTCCAGGTGTGTGTTTGGAGAACCTGGCCCATCCCTGCAGGGCATTACAGGGTTTTTTTAAGGGTGTAGGTTTTTTTCCTCTTAGTGTCTGTTTCTCAAATTTAAAACGCGCGGACTTCAACTGCCAGAATTCCTCAGCCATGCTGGTTCAACCATGGGCTTCATTTAACAACTGCGCACATTCGCTTAACGGCCGTGGTTTTAAAAAGAAGATGTAAAAATCGGGTAGATCACGTGACTAACCCGTTTTTATAACTATAATGGGCAGGCACCATGACCATCATATATCAAGGACTATCTGTATCTCTCTGCTTCTTTTGAGATCCAAAACAATTTTTCTTGACCTGCCTCGATGTGAGAAGGAGGCAATCAATTGAGCATGAGCCAGCCATGTGCTGCAGCCACCAAAAAAGCCAATGTAATCCTGGGCTGCATTATGAGACGGACAGAATCAAGATAATATGAAGTTCTGATACTGCTTTACAAAGCCTTAGTAAGGCCACATCTGAAATACTGCATCCAGTTTTGGTCACCACATTATTAAAAAAAGAGGTTGAGACTCTAGAAAGAGTGCAGAGAAGAACAACCAGGATGATGAGGGGACTGGAGACTAAAAGATATGAAGAACGGTTGCAGGAACTGGGCCTGGCTAGTCTAGGGAAGAGAAGGACCAGGGGAGACAGGAGAGCAGCCTTCCAATAGTTGAGGGGTTGTCCCAGTGAGGAAGAGGGGGTCAAGCTATTTTCCAAAGCCCCCAAAGGCCAGACAAGGAACAATGGATGGAAACTGAACCAGGAGAGAGATTCAACCTGGAAATAAGGAGAAACTTTCTGACAATGAGAACATAGCCAACACCCAAGAAGATCGGCTCAAGGTCCAGATGGATCTTGACAGACTCGAACACTGGGACCTATCTAACAAAATGAAATTCGACATAAAGAAAAATAAAGTCCAACATTTAAGCAAAAAAAACCAACAGCACACACATAGACTGGGTGAAACCAGGCTCAATAGCAGTAACTGGAAGAGAGATCTTGGAGTCTTAGTGGACAACCGGCTAAATAGGAGCCAGAAGTGTGCAGCCGCCGCCGCCAAAAAAGCCAATGCAATCCTAAGTTGCATTAAAAGAGGGATACAATTGAGATCAAGTGAGGTACTAATACCTCTCTATAAAGCCTTAGTAAGGCCACACCTAGAGTCCTGCATCCGGTTTTGGTCACCACACTATAAAAAAGATGTTGAGACTCTAGAAAAAGTACAGAGAAGAGCAACCAGGATGATGAGGGGACTGGAGGCTAAAACATATGAAGAACAGTTACAGGAACTGGGCTTGGCTAGTCTAGGGAAGAGAAGGACCACGGGAGACAGGAGAGCATCTTCCAAAATTTGAGGGAGGGGCTGCCACAGAGAGGAGGAGGGGGGTCAAGCTATTCTCCAAAGCACATTTGAAGGCCAGACAAGGAAGAATGGATGGAAACTGATCAAGGAGAGATTCAACCTAGAAATAAAGAGGAATTTTCTGACAGTGAGAACAATCAACCAATGGAACAAAAGTTGCCCTCGGAAGTTGTGGGAGCTTCATCCCTGGAGGTTTTCAAGAAGAGACTTGTCAGAAATGGTGTAGGGTCTCCTGCTTGGGGGGGAGGTTGGACTAGATGACCTATAAGGTCCCTTCCAACGGACAGACGGACACAATACAGAAGCCTGATGAGGGCAGATGAGATTCTGCCGAAACGTTGCTACAACTTTAAAAGCACAACTACAATGACGTGGGAGAATACCCGAACAAAGCCGAATGCCATCCTCCAAGAGATCAGCCTTAAAATGTTATAATTCATGCTGTTCTTGGATCAGGCAAGTTGTTATGAACCTGCTCGGTGGGAACACTTAAGGTCCCTGCCAAGCAGCAGAACAAAAGCTGACAGATCGCCCTGCGTAAATTTGCACAACCAGGTGGGATTGGTCACACCGACACGAGGGTAACCATTCCTTCAAACTGAAGTCCCATTGCATTCAATGGTACAGTTCTACGGAGGAAGGATTGAGTCTGTCATCGGCACCTCTATCACTGTCTGATTTGGCTCTGCAACCCAACAGGACAGACAACAGACTTCAGAGAGTAATCAGGACTGCAGAAAAAATAATTACTACCAACCTGCCTTCCATGGAGGACCTGTATACTGCAGGAGTCAAAAAGAGGGCTGTGAAAATATTTACAGACCCCTCACATCCTGGACATAAACTGTTTCAACTCCTTCCCTCAAAACGACGCTATAGAGCCCTGCACACCAGAACAACTAGACACAAGGGGAGTTTTTCCCCCAAAACGCCATCACTCTCCTAAAGAAATAATTACCTCAACACTGTCCAACTATTTACAAAGTCTGTACTATTATTATTAATCCTCCCATCCTTTCACCCATCTCCTCCCACTTGTGACTGTAACTTTGTTGCTTGTATCCTTACAATTTATATTGGTTGTTTCCTAGTATGATT